GAGGAACTCCAGGAGCCCGAGGCAGAGGAGGAGGCCAACGGCTCCTTGTCTAAGAGGACCTCTAAAGAGGGGTGTAGGGTTTAGGGTTTAGGGGTTTAGGGTTTAGGGTTTAGGGGTTAGGGGTTTAGGGGTTAAGGGTTTAGGGTTTAGGGGTTAGGGGTTTAGGGTTTAGGGTTTAGGGTTTTTAGGGTTTGGGGGTTTGGGTTTAGGGTTTTTTAGGGTTTAGGGTTTAGGGAAGAGGGGTTTAGGATTGCTTGAAAGGAGCTATAGGGATAGGGGTTTATAGGGTTTAAGGATTTTAGAGTCTAGGGTTGGGGGTTTATAAGATTTAGGGTTTAGGGTTTGAGATTTGGGGTATATGGTTTGACCTTTAGTTCAAAGTCTCGATAATAAGGAATCTAATTTTTTGGGAGGTCTTCATAATCAGAAGAGGGTCCCAATTTTCAAAAAGTGGTTCTCCATACAGGTTTCTAGCACCTCCAGGCAGCATCGGAATTCGCCCGAATGCAGGGGTTACAGGCGTTAACCTGAAGAATGAGTCTTCGTCTAGAATCATTGTATGGTCGCGATTGACTTGTGCTCTAATCTGTCACGCACCACCCCATTGCCATCATTGAGGTCCCGTACTTAACCCCTAGAGTGATCCATTCTGATGGCTATCTGCCCAGAAGCCACCACACTCATCAAAGTGTTCATCAATCTGCTCTGCACGCTTTCGCCGTGGTGGCGAAGTAGATCCGCAACAGGGCGACAGGCTGCTGATTAGTTCGCAGCACTGATGAGTGGCACACCTTGGACGTTCATGTTGAACAGTGTGCACACACTATTCGTCGTGCTGCTGGACATCGATGAATTTCTCGCCTTGACAGCTGGCGGGGACGACGTGGCAGTGGCAATTGAGGGTACGCCACCAAGTCACTTCTCACACGCAGCCGAATTCGACGTGATCGTGAAGCTCGAAAGATTCCAGACTGGATGGTTCACTTTCCACACTGAAACCGTGACCGCCGAAAATTCCCTCCCTGAGCTGCTGAAGACAGCACTCAAACTACTGGACAGAACTTACCCAGTAGAGGAGGGAGCATGCATAAAGTCCATTGAAAGCATGCAAATCGCGGTACAAGACAACTTGAGTATTCTCTGCACACCCGACTTTCGTGGCAAGGCAGCAGGATACACGAGTCGATTAACAGGCATTCCACTTGTGGTAGCTGAGGATTGCCTGAATTTTCTGGAGAGCTACGCCAGAAGCACTCCAAGATCAATCTACAATTGCACAATCGTGCAAGCTCAATGTGCTACCGACTTATTGTCCCGGCCCGTGGACGGGACGATATTTGAGCATGTTATGATTCAAACTCTTAAGTTAACGTTGCTAGGAGTGGCCAATGTGCTTATCGTTCTGGTACTCGGATCCTCGCCTGCTTGACTAGTTGCGAGTGCTGAAACCCATAAACTGGCCCATAAACCCTAAACCCATAACCCCAAAACCCTCAACCCATAGACCCTAAACTCTAACCCCTAAACCCTAAATCCATAAACCCTAAACCCATAAACCCCTAAACCCATAAACCCTAAACCCCTACATCCTTGTACGGAGCCGATCAGGTCCTGAGCTGACTGAAGCCGAGCTCGAGGCACCAAAACCTCTAGACCCCTTTGAAAGGACCCCGATTCTGATTACTAACCATCATTAAGGCACCCCTGAACCCCAAAAACCCTGGGTTCACACAGGGAGGCAGACAACCGCCCGCCCAAACGGGCCTTTAAGCGCAAGCACGGAAAAGGGCCCTTAAACCAACGAAAAAGACCCTCAATCTCAGACCCTTATAAACCCTAAACCCTAAACCCTAAACCCTGAACCCTAAATCCTAAACCCTAAACCCTCAGACCGGAAATCCGAGGATGGGAAGTCGTGGCGGCTGCCAAGCCGAGCCGCTCCTCTTCCTTCAGCGATAGCGGAGCTGGAGACAGGGCGCCCTGGCGGCAGCCCTAAGGGTACTGTAAGGGTATTCTAACACGGAAAGCTTTGGGGCAAAACTGGGGCCTTTGAACAAAAATCAGAGAAGGGTTTTAGTGTGTTTTGTGGTGTACAGGCTTTACAAAAAAAAACAGAAGAAAGAGTAGAAGCAATTCTTCAAGCCGTGGCTGCAGCCCCGAACCCCTTGGAATTGAAAGGATTGACGATTTTATGCTCCGCGCTTCAAAAGCCGTGAAGCCCTTACACCCTTGAGCCCGTGATCCACCCCTAGGCCTTCAAAGCCCAGAGCTTCTGAGAATCCCTAAAACCCGGAAAAGGCTTGAACTTTAGGGGTTCAGGGTTTAGGGTTTAGGGTTAACCTAGAACCCTTTAGGTCCTTTAATTGCAATAAGAGAAGAAGTCGGGTATGGTCGTTGCAGGGCCACTCTCGGCCCCGAGCCCTTCAAGAAGCCTAAGACGCAGATCACCCTCCCACAGCCTTTCTACAACCCTGATAGAGCCCTGATATCAACCCTTATCAAGAACCCACATCTTAGAGTACCCTATACCCTACCTTGACCAACCTAGACCTACTTTTTTATAGGCTCCCTATAAATTCCTTCCATGTTAGTTAGAACAAGGACCTACAAAAAAAGTAAATGTTGGTAGGTTAAGGTAAACCCTAAACCCTAAACCCTAAACCCAGGCCGCTTCTCGTCCACACGATGTCCCTGAAGATTTGGTGATGGGCTGCCGCTTGCCGGATGGACGGAGGAGCTGACAACTGTGCAGAAGAGTTTGGGTAGTTGCGGCTGTTTTGGGCTTGGGCTTTAGGGTTTTGTGTAGTAGGTCCTAAACCCTAAACCCTAAACGGTTTAGGGATTTGTTAGTTTTGCTTTAGGGTTTTGCGGTGGCTCAGATGGCTTTCATGCTCGGATTGAAGGGCCTTGGGGGGGGGGGGGGGGGG